GGACCGGGTGACCGCGCCACACGGGAGGAACCGGGGCCGGGGTGACCGCGTCCCCTGGGGGGGCTGCGGACCAGGTGACCGCGCCACACGGGGCTTTCCTGAGGGCTGCTGGTTCCGTGCGTTGCTGGAACAACAATTAGCAAAGTGAGGGGGGTTGGGGTTGTTCCCCCCCCCGCCTTCTGTGCTGTTATATGCCAGTATGATAAGGGAGGAACGCCTGAAGATCCGTATAATTCTCGTGCGGCCTCCTTGCATTGTGGCAGCTCAGCCTGAATGTGCACCTTTCCCTTTTTTCTCTTCAATTCCCTCTACTCTTCCCCATACCTTTTTTTGGTTATGTATTTCTTTCTTCCCCTTTCTCCTTTTTTTTTTTGTGATGGACTCTCTCTTCTTTGCTATTTCGCAGTGAATAATCTGAATGATTACAGAAACATGGAATTTGCTCAACTTCCATGGGGCCCTTTGGTTTCATGAATCAGTGTGCATAAAAATTGGAACTGCAGCAATCAGAGCTTATCTATATAAATGAATTACTGCTATTAAAGCTGTAAAAAAAAAAAGTGTTCTGAATCACTGAGCATACCTGTTCAAATTCAATGTCTGTTTATAGTGGATTTTAATCCCTCTGAATTCTTGTTTATTTGCTTGTTTGGCTACAGGCAGCTCATAAACACTGGGGCTGTAACCAAGTGCACCTCAACAACAAAGTCTGCGTTCTTCTTGCCTTCCACTAGAAAAAGTTTATGACCTGCCGTTCCCCCAGAGGAATGATCAGGGACTCTGCTCTGGCTCTACTGACGTGGCTGTGCTTGATCAGTAACCACCTGTGTCACTGGGCAGCAGTATATAAAAAGGTAATCAGTTAAAGGTTTTCTCTTCTTAAACCTAAAACTTAAATGGTATAGGAAGGTATCTGCAAGAAGCATGCCTAGAGTTCAAAGCTTCCTATTTATTAAATATTTTGAACAATTTTAGTCATAAATGTATCTTTTTAGAGCATCGACTGAGAGATACTGTTTCCTTTCTCGTCTTTCATCCTGTTTTCCCTTTTAAACCCTAATGAAACGTCACTGTATCATTTTGGCCGTTAGTGTATTTCATGTTTTCTTGCAGCTGTCTTTAGCCACTAAGGCTGTTACAGGAAAGGTTGCTCTTTGATTTTCAGTGTTCTGCTGAGGTGTTTTATATTTATAAAGCTATTAACATTTTTATTCAACCTATAAAAAAAACTTAATTATATTTTGCATTGTTTTGATATCAGTTGCTTTGGTTTGTAAGTCTTATTTTAATAGCGTAAAATATATATTCCAAATGGATAATTTGAATAAAATGTCTTAACCTAGTTGATCTTGTAGAGTGGTGTTGTGAGTGGTGTTGAGAAAATTTAGATGTCTTCAGAAGACAAAGAAGCTCAGGAGGATGAGCTGCTAGCTTTGGCTAGCATCTATGATGAAGATGAGTTTAAGAGAGCCGAGTCTGCCCAAGGAGGAGAAACAAGAATTTGTTTGGAGTTGCCCCAAAACTTCAAAATTTTTGTGAGTGGTGAGTTGAGATATTTTGTGTTACCCTGGGATTAGCTTTTCCTAAGCTAACTTTCTGGTACCTGTTCAGAGGTTGCCGCTTTAGCAACCTATAGCGTCCTCAGTCAATACAAAACCACGGCTGACCTTGACTGGTACTTGTGATATTGGTGGCTTTTAAATCTGGATGGGTTGTTTCATCCTCAGGCATATAACCTCTTTAGTGAACTTTAAAATTAGAGCTGAATGATAGTATTTCTTTGGAATAATTAAGTTCACTATTATTTTTTTCTCCTTGAGGCTATGTCTCTGTGGGTTACTGGTTTGTGGATGAGCTGATGTATCACAGTACTGGTATTCCCTGATTTAACCATATGCATGCTACCCCAGAAAATTTTGCTGCACTGAGCAGTTAAGTTATTTAGAGCAGAATAAAGCATCTTAACATGAGAAATTTATCAGATGGAGAGATGTCTTGGATACTGCCATAAACAGCTAGAGTTTGTTGGTTTTCATTTTCTTGTTATTTCTCAAATTGTTACAATTGTCTTTGATTCAGGCAATTCCACGGAAAGTGTCCAGCACAACGGGTTTGAATACACAGTTTGCTTTTTGCCTCCACTTGTGCTGAATTTTGAACTCCCACCAGATTACCCATCAACCTCCCCACCTGTGTTTACCCTCAGTGGCAAATGGCTGTCGCAAGCCCAGGTTTGCAAAATATTTTTAACATAGCTTTGGTGATCATGAACATGTTCATAATTAACACTACTCTAGTAGTTGTAAATATGGTAGATGCAAGGAAGACTGAAACAAAATTACTTCTCTATTTTAATTGGGTCTTCTTTTGTTTCCTGTCTGTTTTTATTTGCTTGCTGTTCTGAGGAATGAAAGCTTGCGTCTATGAGAGTTATTCTTACGTTATTACTTTTAGATGTATTTTTTTATACGTATAAACATATACGTGTGTGTGCGCGCGCGCACATTATAAAATTTGAAATCTAAATTCCCGTGAAGGTGGACCATGGGAGAGGAAAACTGTAATACGTTAAGTCGGAACTTACTGAAATCTGGAATTGTTTTTTCTTTTCTAGCTCAGTGCTCTTTGCAAACACTTAGACAACGTCTGGGAAGAGAATCGAGGCTGTGTGGTCTTATTTGCCTGGATGCAGTTTCTGAAGGAGGAAACACTGAGTTACCTGAATATTTCCTCCCCGTATGAGCTAAAAATGTGCCATCAAGGAAATGGGCAGAGTAGGACACCTTTGGTTCCTCCAAATGCTGAGAAGGATTGTGGTGGTGCAGCAGGCTCTGCTGCAGCTGAAGGAGAGATCATTGATGAAAGAGCTGTACAGGACGTGGAATCTTTGTCAAGTCTGATTAGGGAAATCTTGGACTTTGATCAGGCGCAGAGGAGGAAATGCTTTAACAGTAAGATGTACTTGTGCAATATCTGCTTCTGTGAGAAGCTGGGCAGTGACTGTATGTACTTTACTGAGTGCAGCCATGTGTACTGCAAAGCATGCTTGAAGGACTACTTTGAAATACAGATCAGGGATGGTCAGGTCCACTGTCTCAACTGTCCAGAACCGAAGTGTTCCTCTGTTGCTACTCCTGGCCAGGTAATCAAGTGTGCAAGCAGTGATCATAGCGTTCTGCTAACTTAACAATAATTACAGCGTATGATGTGTGGCCTTTAACAGTGAGCATTGTGAACTAGGGGAAATTTTTCTCATATTCTGAGCCTCACAGAGGCATCTGAGTTGAATGGGATCACATGGCACCAATTTTGCCTGCTGCATTAGCATTGGCATTGGTCAAAGGGCTGAATTAATGTCCCATTGCACTTGACACCGCTTGTTTTTCATTTGAGCTCTACAGTGCCTGTGCCAGGGATTTGTGTTGCTAATAAGTCTTCTCTTTACAGTATTTTTAAATTATTAATTATAAAAATAGCATTTCTAGGAGTAATTTCATGATCTGTTGGAGAATATACAGTGGATTCATCCCAGCTGTAGGTGTTTTTTCATTGACTTAACTGTTTTTTGCTGTAGCTAGCAGACACAGAATTTCAGATGCCTGTAATCTTGCTTTGCTCTTTGTTTAGGTTAAAGAGTTGGTTGGAGAGCAGTTGTTTGCACGTTATGACCGCCTGCTTCTGCAGTCTAGTCTGGACTTGATGGCAGATGTAGTGTATTGCCCTCGTCCAGGCTGTCAGACACCAGTCATGCAAGAACCAGGTTGCACCATGGGCATATGCTCCCGTTGCAACTATGCTTTTTGTACTCTCTGTAAAATGACTTACCATGGAGTCTCTCCGTGTAAAGTCACTGCAGGTGAGTCATCGTATTTCCGAAACGGATCAAGAAGCAATTAAGTGTTGTGTGAAAAAGACTGAAAGTCAGAAATTAAACGGTGAAACTCGTTGCCACGACAGCTTCGTGAAGGATTAGACATTGACGATAGGTCTGTTGTTGGCAATTAACAAGAATGGCTTGGATGCCCCTCCATAGCTCAGGAGGTCCCTAAATTGCTGATTGCTAAATTCTGAGAGGCCATAGCAGGGGAAGGATAATTTTTACGCATGCCCTTTTATACCCCTTGCTGTGAATCCACTTTTGGCTGCTGTCAGGGATGATACAGGATCAAGTGGATGCTTCCCTAAACCTTTGGTCTCAACATCATGTGACAGTTGCATTAAACGTATGTTTGGAAAAAATATTTCTTTTTTTTTTTTTCCAGTTAATTTTACATTGTAGACTTGTTCTAATTTCATTGACTGCTCTCATGCTGTTATAATGAAAGAGTATAAAACTATTGACTTATAAGATATAGGAGGCTAATAGTCTCATCTTTTTTACGTATTCTCATGGTTTATTTGCTTTTTAATTAATGATGTTATTTTCCTTTGAGAGCACTTTGTCGTTACTAGCTGGATTTCGTTATACAGTATAGCGCAGAAGCTGTTCTTTTGTTTTACTCTCTAGAGAAATTAATGGATTTGCGTAATGAATATCTAGAAGCAGATGAAGCAACTAAAAGATTTTTGGAACAGCGTTACGGCAAAAGAGTGATTCAGAAGGCCCTTGAGGAGATGGAAAGTAAAGAATGGCTAGAAAAGAACTCAAAGTCTTGTCCTTGCTGTGGTACTCATATAGAGGTGAGCGTGGTGGGGAAAATCTGGAGACTCATAGGGGCTCTTAACAGAAACTAACATAAATTGTTACATTCTGTATTGAAGCCAGAACAGAGATTTATTTGTAGACTCTAAATTAGCCAGGGAAGGTAAATTTCTAGCAATTGACAAGAGAACTTTGCATTTTTGCCTGCTCTATGTAGAGAAGGAGATGATGTTTCTAGAGCGCAGGGACTTGAGTAAATGTAGCCGCTGATATTGTTCAGACTCCAGTACAAAAAAGATCCAGGTTGACACGGGATCTATATGAATCCCTTTGTGTTTTTCCATGTGTTTCAGGCTGCTGCATTTTTAATTAAGTTAAATACAATATTCATGTGTGACTACTTTCAGTTTTTGAAATGTCAATCTCTGGTACCGCTAGTAGATAAAACTAGCTTCAGAAAAATATGAACGGCCAATATTTTTAGTAATATAGCCAAATGACAATTCTGTGATTCTGGCTCAGAGTTTACTAACAGTGAGAAAATATCACTGGTAGAATTTATACGTTAGTTGATGCATCTCGAGAACTGGTATCAGACACAGACAGGCCTGAAGATTGGCATGGTAAGGTTTATTTTTTATTGCTATTTCTTTTTTCCTTCCCTGCCAGAAATTAGATGGCTGTAACAAAATGACGTGTACTGGCTGCATGCAGTATTTCTGCTGGCTTTGTATGGGTTCTCTGTCAAGGGTGAACCCATATAGGCACTTCAATGATCCATCTTCCCCGTGCTTTAATCGGTATGTATGTACACATATTTTCTTCAGTGCAGTACCACTTAGGTGTACTTTTTTCATACAGTCTCTCCCAAGTTATTCTTACCTGGAAATATGTAGCTGTACAGTTTAAGGTACAGTTTCTTTTCTCAAAAATATGTGCACTTTTAAGGAGCTGACAACATTCAGGAGTGATTTGGGATATGTTTTTGCTCTTTAAGGACTTCTGTTATAATGTTCTGGAGAAATTTTCAGGGCCTGCTCCTGATGCTTTATTTGCTGCCTCTGTCTGGGAGACAGAGTCTGTAGTGAAATATTTTCTTGAAGATGCTCAGATATATGATAGTGGCCACCCAAGGATTTGGGTAAGAAGGCTGCTTCTAGAAAGCCGTAACTCTGGAGGCTTGCATCATCAGTATTAGGGGTACGTGGAGAGACAAAAGATGTTGCTGCTAGCTGGACAAATGAAAGGGCAGGCAGAGCAGGGGGCTGTAATAATGGTAGCCTCAAAGCTTGCTTGACTGGGTTCCTCTTTTCTGAAGAGGTCAAATATGATCAGGGAATTTTTTTGCAAATGTATTCCATTGCGTCTTGTGTCCATCATCATGATATACAGGTGCCTGGATACAAAATCTAAAATGCCAGGACTTTGTGCAATACTCTACTGCTTAGTCTGCTTTTTTTAATAGAGGTGGATCTTTTCAGGCTTGCTAATTCATAGAAAAAATGAGGAATTGTGGAGCGGTTTTTGTGGAAAATTACATACAAAAGTAAACATCATGAAACGTGCTGTAAAAAAGATGATCTCGTTCTGCTTTCTGGTGGACAGAACGCCCCACAATATCGATGTTGTAGCCACGCGCATTTTACAATTTAGCTAGGAACTAAACTAGGCCTGATTTAGTCCTAATTGATTGTTTTAAATTTTAGCAAGGGCATGTCGTACCTGTTGTATCTAGAACTGAGGTAGGTTCCTCTGGTGGGAAGGCATAGTAGTTGGAACTTCCAGTTTTTCTTTCTTGAGTTAAATACAAATTGTTAGCGTGCACAGACACGTCCACCTACCCACACCTTTCTCTGCCTTGGTTTTTCTGCCTATTGAATGGGAAAAGCTTCTGCCTTCACAGAACTTTAAATAGGGCAGATGGGATTTTTTTTCTTGTTCTTGGCCCTTTTCAAGGTTCTCTTTTTCTCCCAACAGTAATTTTTTTCACTTCCATTCCCTTCCTCATTTTCCTTTCTGCTTTTCTTCAAGTGTCTCCTGCTGTTCTTTTTTTCTTTCAGTTTAGCCAAACCTCTCTTTTTTTTTTTTTTTTTAAACTAAGCTCATCTGTTTAACACTTACTTCCTTTACTTTTGTTTCTTCTGCTTATATTTTCTAGGTGATTACCCAGCTCCATACTGTCTGATCTGATTGTAAGCTGTTTGGAGCAGACAGGTTTGGTTGCTGATTATGTACTGAGTAAACATCAACTAGGAATGGCAGAACACTAAGGGTTTTTAATACAGCTTGGACTATTATTATTTACAAAGTTATCTTCAGATATTATGTTTATAAGGTTTTTAGGCCTTCTGATATAAAATGTTGTAGAAATGCAAAATTTTTTCAATCGACTTCAAGGGTTGCAGCATTGAGTATTTAATGACATGTGCACAAATTCTGAAACCTGTCACTTCTGTGTTTCTGTCCCATTAAGATTAATTTTTCCTGGATCTTGATGTAAATTCTTGTCTGTTCTGCAGGTTGTTTCAAGCTATGCACATCGATGGTGAGTTCTGGGATGCGGAAGATGAAGACTAGCAGCTCTTCTCTAGCAACAAAAGCTGAAGAAACCAGACACAGATGCTTTCCATTTTTGTGTCAAGTTTTTTTTGCTTTTCAGTTCCGTTATATGATAGAAGAATGATACTACTTGGCACTGCACGTTACTCTTACACAACTCTTCAGAGGCTGTTGTCAGAACCAGAGGAGACCGTTTTGCCCATCCAGTGGTGACTTAAGGCCCTAATGCTAAAGACAAATACAACCAGCCAGAAGTTTAAAAATTACTGGAAAAAATGTGTACCGAGATGTGCCCCTTTTTTTTTTCTTTTTTTCTTTTTTTTTTTAATTTAACCTGCCAAATCATAGAAATATTTTGAGGTTTCCTCCAGGGAGACTAGCCTTTCAAGGATCTTGACTTCTACCCATGTGCTTTTTTGGGCAGTTTCATTATAGCTGTAATGTTCTTTCTGGAGCTTTTTAGTGATGCTGCTTGGGCAAGGAAAGCTTACTGAAACAACACAGACAATTCTTCTTTTTTCAGCATTTGAGCCTGTTGCCTCTGTAGCATTTCCTGACCTGTTTCTTTGAAAAACAGCTCATCACTCTGGCACTGATGCTTTTAACAATGATGGTAAAGTTGGTTATCCCTAACCCCCTTTTTACTGGCTCTAACGCCTGGGTCCTTTACTGAATGCTTTTGCGGAAGATGACCAACAACTGTTTCCTGAAACCTGACTCAATTTGGTGACTGATATCAATGTTGTTGTCATACTAACTTTTATTGCCTCTCTTTATTTTGGCAGTGATGAGTGCTAAAGCAATGAATAGAGTCTGTGGCCACTGAGAGAATAAAAATAACGTATCTCAAATCCTGAAACACATTTTTGTGGATGCACAGTCAAGATTAATTTGAATTCTTCAAAATACTGAAAATCACCTTTTCTTCCTCCTCAGATGGTGAAATAACTTTTTTTTTTTAACCACGTCTTCATCTAAGGAATTTGATTAGTTGATAGTTTTGCTTCCATTATTTTCAGTGCTCTTGCCCTTCAGAATTTGTCAAAACAACCCACATCCTTTCCCCTAAGAGCTCAGTAAGTAGTTTTGTGAGCATGAAAGTAATTATTGGAGGGAATCACTTTTTTTTTTTTTAAGAATTTTTTCCACTTGCAGAATCGTCTGAAAACTTATTTTTAAAATTAAAACTGCATGTGCTGTGTTCGGAACAAGAAAAAGCAGGGTCTGGATAGCTCAGGAGCTTGAAAACTCTTCAGAAATTCAAGGTGAACACCTCTTGCCCAGTTTTGATCAATAGTAAATAAATTTCTACTCGGATACCTGGCCAAAATGAGTGTTGATGTAGTTCCTTTCCCAGAGGACACAAGTCTCTACCACTAGAACTGCTGGTAATAAAAAGATCAGTAAGAGTGGATCTGGGCAGCAGATTCCCTCTGGTACATAGAGGTGGTACTTTGTATCACTATAGGCTAGAGGACAGCGTGGAGGGAAAGTTTACATTGTGTATGGTTTAACTTGTATTTCCTGCACCTTTCACAAGCACTAAATTCACTTTAAGACAGTAAATGTAGTTGTCTCCCTGTTTGTCTTCATTATGACGTTATATCAAAGCGCAGAAGGTCATTGTGTGGCATAGAATTCTGTTCTGCTTCTGGGTGGGATCACTTGCAGTGCTTATGTGCAGGACTTTCTCCTGCCAACCTGTAAGCGTGGGCAGAGAGGGAATGTTTGTCACCAGGAGAAGCATGTTTACACCCTGTCCTGCTGCCTGGAGGACGGCAGAGCTGCTGGGTCTCCTAAGTGTCTGGGAGGCTATGCAGGTCCTTCTACAAGGACTAGAGTGGGCTGAGGGAAGGACCTGCAGGCCAGAGGGTATGATGGGATGAAAAGCTGTGGCCAGGAATCTCTGCCAGACCTGCAAGTTCTATAGTAAAATGTTTCAAGATGTCCCAGTGACCTACTGCTGCTATCAAGAACATACAGAGAAAGGAGGAATGGTGATCCAGTTACCACCCTGCTTATGAGCTCTGGACGCTCAGGACTCCTAGAATGGAGCTCCAAAACTCTGCAGTGAGGCAGAGGAGGACTGACCCTCTCAAGAGATGGCAAGCAGGAAACTGCACTCTGAGGACAATCAGCTGCTGTTGCAAAGGTGGGACAGCTAAAGCGAGAACCTGTCTTCACAGACAGAAAGAGCAAGGCAGGCAACTCTCGTAATGAAGTGTAGGGTTTTTTCCTCAGTGTATACTTTTCTTCCTTAAAAGTGCCACTTTATTGTCCTTTATCATATTTGAAAATGGATCCTCTTGTGTGCATGAACAAGACATTTTATTTACAGACAGTGGTAAAAGGCTAAAGCTGTGACCTCCTTTGCTCTCCTTTACAGATTCCTGCTTTTTTTTTTAATGAAATGGCTACCACCTGGCAGGGAAGAGTTGTAGCATGTATTTTGTGGCAAGCCTCATCATCCTTCCACGGAAGTGGTGCATTTGATGTTTTTTGGGAAAAGGTGATTTGCAGACATCTAAGCAGGCCCTGGCTCTGAGCACTGCAGGCATGAGTACTCTGTGAGTTGCCGTGGTATCCAGAGGTGAGAAAGGTGAGCTATGTCTAGCTAATCACAGTCCACTCCCCCACCTGCCTGAGGTGGCAGTTCTGTTGCACCAAGCCCTGGAGGGTTAGCGCAAGCTCCGCTCTTGCCTCCACAAGCGTGGACCTGCAGCTCCAGAGCTTTGGTAACCCAGGCTGAGTGCTCCAGACCTGCACCGCAGTATGATATTAACACCATACTCATCTCCTGGACCAGGCAGTGATGCTCTCCAGTGCTCACGTGATCAGCAGATGCCTCAACAGACCTGAAGCTGCTAGCCCTTGCTTACAGCAGCCATTCATTTTCACAAGCCACATCACATCAGCATTTCTGTGCCAAGTACCTATTATTCATGAGGTGCAGCGAAAGGCTGGTATAGTCTAGCAGGAGGGATAGTGCTTATGTTTGGGGGATGAATGGCAAGGTATCAACTGCTAGCGGGAGGGGATATAAACCTAAGGCATAGTTTCAGCTGGTCTGAAGAGAAGGTGGGAGCTGGGGTAAGAGAGCCATGTTTTGAAGGCTGGCTGAGATGGTCTTCACTGCTAATAACTGGCTAGGGGGTGTTTCCAAGCTGAGCCCGAGTTGAAGCAGCTGCCTGCTAAGCAAACACTGCGGGGGCAAGAAAGCGTGGAAGGGAACTCTTGGAGTAGGGAGCAGCAGTACCTATTTTTTACCAAACTGCTTTTGCTACAGCCTTAGTTTGAAGGAACTCTTGGAGTAGGGAGCAGCAGTATCTATTTTTACCAAACTGCTTTTGTTACAGCCTTAGTTTGAGACAGTAGAAATACCTTCTGCAAAGTAATTGGTCTCACTGTTTGAGACTTTAGTTGCTGTTGAAGGATGGTATCGGAATCCCCTTCAGCCACATAAACTGTTCCCAAGTTTCACTAGTGTGTTCAGACTGAGGGGCAGATACAGTTGCTGTGACTACTTAAAAAAAAAGAAAATTATGGCATTTATTGTAGAAAAGCTACATTAAAAATCAACAGTTCATGGAATTTCTGTATAAACAAATTACATCCCTCTGCCGTTTGTCTCACCATGCACTTGTCTTTATAGTGTTTAACAGGAGCCCTTACTGTAGCAGAACCAGGAATCAAGTTTCAGAACACGTGGTGTCTTGCCAGTACAGACTTTTGCCCACCTGTATGGGGCTTACATAATTAAACACAGGGTGAGCTCAGAGGCAGCAGAATGTCTCCTTTGAGGCTTATTTAGCATTTGTAGCAAAGTAAAGCAGGTAAGGGGAGAGAACCCTGCTGCTTCAGGCTCTGCAGTGACACAAATGACAGCATGCTGAACAGCACAGGGGGGGAAGTCATTTGCCCTCCCACAGAACCTTATAAACACCAGCTCATAAGAATTTGTGCTGAAACTGAATAGATGAGGTTTTGTTTGGGTTGAGATTACATATATTCATAAACTAACCATTAACACAGAAGCACAATGATGAACTGCTGTTTGAGGCCTCCCTTTTGCTAAGATGAGAAGAGAAGCAGGGACAGGATTGCAGTTGCAAAATCTGCTTACCTGCTGGAGGCTCCTGCATCATATCCTGCACTATCAGCTGGAAGAGGGCACAAACCACCTTCTGGGAAGTCTGTGTAAAAGCTAAGTAAAGGGCAGGCCAGAACTTTTTTTACTAATAATATTCATGTTAAAAGGGACCTCAGGAGGTCTCCAGTGCAACAGCCTGCTTGAGCAGGGCTCAGCAACGAGGTCAGATCAGGTTTTATCCAGTCATGTCTTGAAAATCTTCAACCACAGACACTGCACAACCTCTCTGGGCAGCCTGTCTCACTGTTTGATTGTGCTCGTGGGGGAAAAAGGTTTTCCTTGACTTGATTCAACTTATGTCCTGGTACCTCTCCTTTTTCCACCAGGCACTGCTGTGAAGAGCCTGGCTATATCGTCTTAGTGGCCTCGTCATAGCTATGAAGCAGGCTGCTATTAGGCCCCCTCCCCCCCCCCAAAAAAGCCTTTACTTCTCCATGCTGAACAAGCCCAGTTCTCATGTTAAATGAGTATGAAGTAAGAGTGTTTTGTGGAGGGGGGAATGATACAATGTAGTTTTCAAAGTGCAAGGAATAGATTCCTAAATGATCACCCATTTGATTTCTGCAACATTGTCTCCACATTTAAGTTCTGAAGTACTCTATCCACATAATTACAGTTGCTTTCCAGATTATTAAACAACTCACTCTCCGCTGACTTTACCTTTAAGAGAATAAGTTAGTGTTGAAGGCTTGTGGAACACAGTATGTTGGATCCCATCCTTGTTTGGTTAATTAAGGCAGGTGTTTGGCATCTCTGTTTTTAAATGGAGAGAAGCAAGCACATCATCATTTTCCTAATTTAAGAACAAGTATGAGGTGAGTTTATGCAGCAATTCCCTTTCTTCACAGCTGGTTTTCAACAGAAGAGTTGGCTTAGCATTAGTTTGAACAGCAAGAGATTAATCGCTGTATGGCTTCTTAGATTGGCTTGTTTCTGCTCCTGTCTCCTTCATGCTGTACAAGGGTTCCACAAGCTTATTGTGAACCAGCATTAAACCTAATGTAGCAAGTAAAAAGAAGACAAGTAGACATAATAAAGCAAAATCCTCATTCGTGGGATGCTAATGAAATTACACATGACTAGAATCCTTACTCCTTTGCTCCCATGCACAGATGCAGTTATCATCACTGTACATCTCATTAAGGAACTTACTCTTTTGGAGCTGATTAAACAGAAACATTTTTAACACAGAGTGGCATGTGCCACTTCAAAACTCAACATAGCATCTATCTGACTCAGATAAACGCTCACCTTTAAAGTACTTCACTGTCTTAACTTTGAGTTCCAGAGTGGCATCTTCATCACACACAAACACAGTGTTGGGGTGTTGCTGGAAAGCAGATACTGTCCACATGTGGTTGACACCTTCCTCAATGGCTTTGTACAAGGCAAATGCTTTATGCGCTCCTGTGATAAGAATCATCACCTGCACTCGGAGACACAGAAGAGTGGCAGTTAGGGTCTAGAAGATACGTTCAGAGAGAACACCTCCAAACACTGCTGAACTAAGACAGTTGCCCCAGTCCCTAATGGGGGAAAATGTCTGTCATCAGAAGCATTTCACTGTGCCACAGTTCACTGTCACTGCATTTTATTTTTGTTAATTGAATCAGAGCCCGGTGGGTCATTCTAATGATTCAGGTACTTTGAGCTGTTCTGTTAGGCACCTACAGATAGTGGCTTATCAAGTATGAATCAAGGTATAGACTCAATTAAACGCTATCCCACAGTTTTTCACGATCTGCTGGGATATTATGACGTCAGCCAGTGATTCTTGCAATCATTTAATCAGGTAAGCTTCTTAACTGAGGATATCCTCTAAAACTTTCCTAGCTCCCTCAGTTACAACAGTACTGCAGAATTACACAAATTAAGTTAATACAGCAAAAATGGAAAACAGATAAGGAGCCCTTCTGCAGTGGTGCAGGATGCAAGGAAACAGAAAGATCATTTAGTTGTCTGTGTCAGGAAAAATGTAGGCTGGCCTACACCAGCAGGGTGCATTACTGCTCCAAGTCTGGACAGTCTCTAGCTACTCGATGAAGCCCTGCTTAGGAGCTCTTGTATTAAGTCACTGCTTTTCTCCTAACCTCTCGTGCATCCATGACAGTGCCCACTCCGACTGTCAAAGCCATTGTGGGGACTTTGGAGAGGTCGCCATCAAAGAATCTGGCATTAGCCAATATTGTGTCCATAGCCAAGGTCTTCACTCTCGTTCTCGATACCAAACTTGATCCGGGCTCATTGAAGGCGATGTGACCATCTGGGCCAATGCCTGTGACAGAGACAATATAAGAACTAGATCACTGGCTTAAACAGTTATTGTAGAAAACAGAACCAATGGCACTTTCACTAAAAGGACATTTGAGGTTTCCAGAAACAGATACAGAAGTGAGAAACACACTTGCCTT